CCACAGCCTCAAGTCACAGCAATACCTGGAGAAGAATTATGTTTTGAAAAACAAAAATATTATTTTTAAACCACAGTATGGAGATATTTGTCATTGACTAATTTGTTATGTCTGTACTGAAATAATGATGAGTTACCCATTGACCTTTACCACATATTCAGTCCATGGCTCAAATGGAAATAAGACTCATGTAGAAATTTGTATTCCCATCTTCCATATCCACATTCATACCTTCTTTCAAAGAATGCGGCATCTCCTTTTAGGAGAAAGTTCATTTAACCAGGTGATAGTCCAAGTCACATTTAGGGTACATTTTTAATGTTTGTACATAATGCTTAATAGGGATCAGCTTTAAGTGATGTTAAATACTGCCCTATTTGGCACAGACTCGGAAAATGGTGACAAAATCACTAATAACTTTTTATTTGAAATATATCATACATATACATATAATATATATATATGTATGTACATATACACACACATATATTGATTTCAGAGAGGAAGGGAGGGGAGAGAAATAGAAACATCGAGAGAGAATCATTGATCATGCTGCCTCCTGCACAATCCCCACACTGGGGATCGAGCCCACAACCCAGGCATGTGCCCTGACCAGAAATCGAACAATGACCTCCTAGCTCATAGGTCGATGTTCAACCCCTGAGCCACCGCGGCCGAGCTGTATCATTTTATTTTAAAAGGTCTTAAGAATGCTGCAAGTTCAGGCTTGACCGATTTGCTCCTGTCAAACCCAAGACACCTTATAAAACAAGAAAAAAAGCACTAACTAGGCCCTTTTGATCCGGTTTAGTAAGGCAACAAAACAAATCTGCGGTTTGATTTTGTTTTGCTTTAGAACTAGTGTGTCATTACAGATCATGAGCTGCAATTTCACTTCACTGATGAGGAAATTAAGACACAGAGAGGTTAAATGACACAGAAACACAGACCCTCTGAATAGAGGGGAACTCAGTTACAACTCCAAGCCTACATTTTTATCCAATTAAAAATAATGTCATTTTTTTTTTACAAGCTAAAAGTTTGCCAAAAAACTCTTTAGTTCTAAGTTTAATAACAAAGTTAGCAAACCTATCAGTTTTATCTGTCTTCTATATTAAAACCATTAAGTCTTTGTCTTTTGTCTTAAACATCAAGAAGCTCAGAGAGAATTTAGTGCCCAAGCAGAACCCCACTTCCTAGTCGTGGTTTCTGGGGGTTATCTCATCCTTTCTTTGTCACTCAGCTTTTCCCAAACTCAGTCACTATTAGTTGAGCATCTGTGATATGTCATACAGTGTCCTAGGTGCTAAAGAGACAGTAGTGAACAAATCATGAGAACACTCCTGTCTTTGTGGAAATTAATTACAGAAATATAAGTTACAGTATGTTAGTGTTATGGACAAAATAAGCAGGAAAGGAGATCAGGGTTGTGGGGTGCGGTTCATCTTTGAAAAGAATGGTTAGTGAAGCCATAAGGGTGACATCTGTTTGCATCCAGACCTGGAAGGGAGAAGGGGGAGGAGTGAGCCAGCATCAAAGCTATTGCAGGCCCTAGGAACAAGTGCAGCAGCAGTCCTGAGGTGGGAGCATGCTTGGCCTGCATGAGGCATCTTTTCGTTGTTGTTTATTATTTTAAACAACATATTTTTCTTCATTGAAAGTTCCGTCAAATACTTTGGAAGAAGGTCAGGAACGTGCATGCAATCGTAAGTGCTGCAAACAACCTTCAGACACTATGACACCTCAGAAGAGTTTTTAGTGGTTGGCTATTGCAATGACACTTCACCTTGCCCCTCCTACTCTCATTTCTTCTCCACTAGAGATCAAAACATTGACTTCCTAAAACTAACTCACAGAAGTAAAACAAAATAAAATAAAATAAACCTGCTCTGGGGGAAAGGCCCACCTTAATGAAGGAAATCAATCACACTGCAATGCAGAGAAGCCAGACCGCAGTGACTACCTCCCTTGAACTTGTAACCCACGGTATCTGTATCCAGTGTTTAACATTAAGCACTGCCTGGTATTGTCACTCTGTTTACATCTCACTATTTGCTACTTTGGATTGTTGTGTACACATCTGCTCTCACAGTGACTTCCCTGGAGCAGGGCCCATATATTGGAAATGTCTGAATCCCGTCACATGACTGCACATGGACGGCACAAATATTTGTTTGACAGCTTAATTTTGTTTGACGGTGATGTCATAGAAACCACCACAATGAGCAGCAGACATCCTCCTGTTTTAAGTATCTGTTTGTGGATAAACCATGAACGAAACACCATCGTCTCTTACAGACATTTGGATAATCTCAACAATCTTGGGCAAGTTACTGTTTGTGTAACATTCCATTCTGTCTACATTTCCCTTTGCATTTTCAGTTGGGCACAGGACACACTTTCCGTCTAGACACAGCAGAGATTAGCCACAAAACACAAAGGAGCCACACCGCGCTGTGTGAAATCCTGTTCAGTTCGCTTCAATGTTATTAAACACTATGAAAGGAAAGGGACTCAACACGAAACTACCAGATACAAGGAATATAAGTCACTGTCCATACAGTCTAGCAAGACAAACCAACACATAAGGAGTAACTTCAGTGGATGTAAAACACACAGAAGTATTTTGAAAGTATATAAACAGTGGCTTGGAGGGCCAGGGAAGGTTACACAGAAAAGTTGGCACCTGAACAGCCAGGGCTTGAAAGATGAACAGGCCTAGGACAGTCAGACAGAGATCAAAGGGCATTCCAGATTGTGCAAAAGACACTGGCAGAAACATAACATTGAAAACTGCTGGAAGAATGCATTCAGCGCCCGTGAAGGAAAACAGGTCTGTTGCCCTCCTAATCCCGGGGGGGGGGGGGGGGGGGGGGGGGAGACACAACAAAAAACCACCAAGCTTTCAAATAAGGAGCAAAGGAAGAAAGTTTCATCAGCACTTGTTTTGTTAAACCTCTTAGCTTTGCTTTGCCCTTTCTGTGTTGTTCCCTCTTAAATAAATAAAGTACTGTGCTGGAGAGTTCAGTGAGGAAAAGTACTTCAGCTTGACTGTGGAAAAAGAAAAACTGAAAAAATGGGCAAGGGCCAAGGAATAAACAAACTGCCCTTCTGAAATAGATAAATGGGAGCACATTTTAACAGGAAGCACTACCTGGTATTGTTACTCTGTTTACATAGCATTATTTGCTACTTTTTAAAATCAGATGATCATGGACCCTTCTGTTCACCAAGTCCATCCATACTTATTTTATGTTCACAATGTGTTAGTCTGCGACCCCAGGCCCGAGAGGCATTCTCGTCGCCCTCCTCTTTGAGCAGGCTCTTGCTTGCAATCTAGTAAGAGAAACAAAGCAGAGGGCAATTCCCTGTGCCCTGTTCCTTCCGCGGCTGCCAACCAATGCCTGAAGCTCAGAGCAGAGTTAAGTTCCAGTCAGGTTAACCAGTGAGGAAAAAACACACACTGAAATAATTACATTTCAACCACTGACTTGCAAGAAACTGTCAGAGGCTCCCGGGAAGGGTGTGGAACACCTCTGCCTGCGAGCAGGGCGCGGGCGCGGGGCCTGGCTGGCCAGTGACTGGGGATGCTGGCGGGGCGCGGAGCAGGGGACGGGGCGCAGTTACCTGGGCGCTCAGGTAGACTTTGAGGCACTCCTCGCACACGGCCTTCTTGCAGCAGGGCAAGGGCTTGATCGGCTTGTCTTCCAGGCACACCCGGCACATCAGCACCATGAGGGGCGCATAGGGATCCCCGACCCCACCCAGGCCAGAGTAGGGTGGAGCTCCCAACAGGCTGGGCGCGGAGAAAGGTTCGGGCGCCAGGTAGAATTCCAGCTCGATGCTGCCGCCATCGGGGGGCAGGCGGTCCGTGGGGAGGGACAGCCGGGGGCTAGGGAAGGAGGAGGGGGTGCCGGGAG